TATCTATATCTCTACATTGGTGCAACAGTTAACTGTTAGGGAGATTGATCGGGCTGCTATTTGCAAAAACATGACGGGGATACCCTGTTCTAATTATACCGTTGGGCTAAGCAATCCCAAAACAAACAACGTTTGCACACAAAAGCCGCCTTTTCAATTCTGATTGCCAGGAATAAAAATTCAACATGTAAAAAATTATGTCCGCCATTTTTTTTTCATTTTTAAATTTAGTTTATGTTTTATTTTGTTTTTCGTCTCTATTGTTTGATTTTTTTTAAAATGTGCTTTTGTTCAACTTTGTTTTACGAGATAAACAATGGTGACTGTTCAAGATCAGGCAAGATAAAATTTAAAATGCTGATTTTCAAGGAATCCATCCCATCTTGCCTCAGAAGATTTCCGCAACAAAATTCTTCTCTCTCTCTTTCTCTCTCTCTATCCTCTCTCTCTCTCTCTCTGTATATATATATATATATATATATATATATATATATATATATATACACCTGGTCAAATCTTAAGATCAGATACAAAGGTATAAAATACTGTTACTTTAATTAAAAATATATTTGCGAAACATTTACATTTAATTAGAAAATGTAGTTTATCAACAAACAAGTGAACATTTTAAGCTTTTAAGTGATTAACTTAAACAAACATTGGAAAAAAGATTTTGGGGTGGTTGGTCATGTATGAAAAAAGCAAATTACTGGACAAATATTTTAGAACAAGTCAGTGAGCTCATAGCTTCAGGCGTGTAGACATCTACGTAACTCATTTTCAATATTAAATTTCAGATTTTAAAATGACTACGGGTAATATTTTAACAAAGTTCGAACAAGGCAAGATTGTTGAACTTTAAAGACGTGGTCTTTCGCAACGAGCCATTGCAAATGAAAATGGCCTTAGCAGAACTGTCATTGCTGACTTCATTAAAAAGCCGGATGCGTATGCTTCTAAAAAATCAAGCGGTCACCCCAATAAAATCTCACCATCTCTAGACAGACGCATTAGGTGAGAAGTTAAGAGAGATTCAAGCCTAACGTTAAATCAGATAAAAGTAAATACAGATGTTGAATGCAGCTCTCGAACAATTAGACGGCATTTAAATAAGAAAGGGTCTAAGAACTTGAAACGGCTGCAGAGGCCTCTTCTTCTTCTTCGCCATAAAACCTTCCGTTTACAATTTGCTTTCGATTATCAAACTAGGGATGTGGATAAATGGAAGAAAATTCAATTTTGATGGCCCAGACGGTTTTTAACGTTACTGGCATGCAAAAGACGTCCCAAAAGAAATTTTATCAACACAACACAGTGGTGGTAGATAATGTATAGTCTGGGGTTCATTTTCATACAATAGAACTCTTGAGTTACAGGAGGTAAAAGGTCATCAAACAGCTGCTAGTTACATTGACATATTAAGAAAGGCATCGCTAATTACTGAAGGTCCTCATCTACATGGAGAAAACTGGATTTTCCAGCAGGACAATGCTGCAATCCACAACGCTCTCCAGATCGAAACCCAATCGAAATTTTGGGGGGATGGATGGCAAAGGATGTTTATAAACATGGATCGCAATTTGAAACTGTGGATGCTCTTCGTGCTGCAGTTTATGCATCCTGGTTGAGCATCCCTAGCACCCTCATGCAGAAGTTAATAATGAGTATACCAAAGCGAATTTTCGAAGTAATTCGCAAAAATGGAGGTTATACTGAGAATTAAATTGTCGTTGTGACTTATTTGTTCTGTATTTGCTATTTTTATTTACATGGTCTTATCTTCATGACCAAACCAAAAACTCCTTTTTTCAATGTTTGTTTGAATTAATCAATTAAAAGCTTAAAATGTTCACTTGTTTGTTGATAAACTACCCTTTCTAATTAAATGTAAATGTTTCGCAAATATATTTTGATTAAAGTAACAGTATTTTAAAATATAACTGACGATAGGAAAGCTGACACGTTTCGTCCAAATTTAGAGGACGCTATTTTATACTGTTAAGTGAAAATTACGTCAATTACTGTCACGTGTGGAGATATTGTTATTATTGCTGTGTTGACGGATTCAACCATTTTCTTTTGATTTTACGATATTGCTGTGTACGTTTGTTTGGGAGAGCAGTAATTTTGTTAAGAAAGGTGAAATAGGGAAAAGGCCTGGGCGTAGATTAGTATTTGGGTAATATTCAATGGCGGCACTCTCGAGGATTTTCCTTCTGAGTGAGTTATTTTCTTTTTTTATGAGTGTAACATTTTTAAAATCAAAATTGTGGTTGACTTTATTTCTATATATAACTATTGCATTAGCTAAGTTTTTTTTGTGAGGTTTCTTTTGTGCTCATAAATGCGTTTTTTTTTTAATTTCTACCTGTTTCTCCAATATATTGGGATGAACAGTTTTGGCAATTTATTTTATAAATGCCTGCTTCAGAAATATTATAGCTATTAGTGTTTGAGGACCTCAGTATATCCATAATGGTTTAATTTTCAGTTAACACTTTGAAAATAGCATCCTCTAAATTCTTTCAGTTGCTAAGGACATTTTGTTTTTTGTTATTATTAAAAAAAAATTAAGTTGAGGACCTCAGTATATTAATGGTTTAATTTTCAGTTAACACTTTGAAAAAATAAATTCTTTCAGTTGCTAAGGACATTTTTTGCTTTTTAAAATAAATTCACGTTTTTTTGGATGAAAAGTCCACATTGGATGAAACGCGTCAGCAACTACGACAGTTTTCCTATTGCCATTTATATTTTAAAATATTGTCTTTTCTACAAGTTAACTCTGAGAAATTTTCATCATAACAGTATTTTATATTTTTTTTAACACTTTTGTATCTGGTCTAAAAATTTTGACCAGGTGTGTATATATATATATATATATATATATATATATATAGATAGATAGATAGATAGATAGATAGATAGATAGATAGATAGTGTGTGTGTGTGTGTGTATGTGTATGTGAGTTTGTTTAGTGGCATACCAAAGTCACATGCTAACTTTCTGCATCTAAGAAAAATATCGCAATTTACGTATCAGGTACAGGCTTTCTTGTATTGTATTAATTGTTTTAAGTGTAACAACAATAATAATTAGTAGTAGTAGAAGTATTGGTACTACCTGTTGTTATTGGGACTCTGTGAATGGTATCAAATTCCTGGTAGACCTAAAATATGCGAATTGGAAAAAGCCATACTCATGAGTACTTCTCTTATCATGCATAGATTTCTTTCAATAAAAACAATTATATTTTTTTCTGATTGTATGGCAACTCACTACTGTACAAAATCTGATCCAAAAACCTGTTTTCTCTTGAAGCCACTGGTTGAGACTCATGGGCAACTTAAACTACACAATGCAGATTTAAAACATAATGATAAGGATTGGTCTCATAATTATTGCATTATTATTTCTATTATTTATCATGCATAATATTCATTTTTTTAATTATTTATTATTTCTTGTTATTTATCATTTTAACAACAACAACAACAATAATAATAATAATCATAATAATAAGTGATAAATATCCAGAAACAATTGATCAACTTGTATCAGGTTGCACGCTATTGGCACCAAACTGAATATAAAACCCGACATGACAGAGTGGGCCAGGACCTGGAAAGAAACGCGTACACACCAGAAATCAAATGAAATAATAATAATAATAATAATAATAACTGATAAATATCCAGAAATAATTGATTATCTTGTATCAGGTTGCACGGTATTGACACCCATTGAATAAAAAAAAACTTACATGACAGAGTTGGCCAATATCTACACTGGAAAATCTGCAACTTCTACGGGAAGCAACTGAAAGAATTTGGTATGAACACCATCCACACCCACTTACAGAGATAGGATCTGTTACAATTTTATGGGACTACACAATACACACAGACAAAATAATCAAAGCCAACCACCCAGATATTATTAGAGAGCGCTAACAAAAAAAAAAATGACTCCTTATTGACATGGCAGTCCCTGCAAACTGCAATGTATCTTTGAAGATCTTCAAATAGCTATCAAAATACAAGGACCTTGAAATCGAAATCTCAAAAATGTCTCACATGGGAACATCAACAATCCATGTTGTAGTTGGAGCACTCGGATTGATTGAAAAGATTCCAATAGACTCATTGAAGGGATTCCTGGAAGCCCATGCCTTAAACAAATAAAAAAATGTTCTCACGACTACGGCCCACACCTTACAAAGGGCTTTATCTTTGTAAAATATGTGTTTTTTTTTTTTTTTAATTGGTCAGTGGAAAATGTCATGATGCGATTTCTAACCTTAGGTCTCTGGGCGGAACCCGGAAAGAAATGTGTACACACCAGAAATCAAAGGAAATAAAATAATAATAATAATAATAATAATAATAATAATAACAACAACAATAATTGTTATATTTCACGACAATCCGTTTACTCTGATGTCCAAGGGCTAAAAAAATCATCCCTTAGTTCATCGCATCCGGGCAGAGTACTATGTGGGCAATATGTGTCGTGATTCCGAGGCTCTTACAAGTGAGGGGTTCAGCTGAGAGACGGTAACCACAACGTGTTTCGGCTGGTTGCAGTCTAAATCTGCACATGGGACTAAAATCACATGCATATTCAGGGTGGTGATGACAGGATACCGCTAAGCTGAACGCCCCCCGTGACTGAATTCAACAACCAAATTGTAGGGTTCCCCCCCGACAGAATCATCGACTTTTTGTCTTTGACCAAGGTGAGCCTTCAAGTCGACTGCGGAGTACCAGGTCTACTTTTCCCAAAACAAGCTACATAGGATTGAATAACTACTGAGATGATGTACGGAGTGACTAGATGATGATGATGATGAGGAGGAGGATGATTATACAGACATTCCACATGGCGATTAGCGGGAAAAATTATGTGGTGAATGTTACAGTGATATAAGCGATAGAAACCTGTCTTTGGAAATGCTAATCGTGCAGTGTGAAATTGTCTACCACGGAAGCCGAGAGTAATGTCTGTTCTTGGTTTTCTTTGCCAAGTCTGTCTTCATTCTGCGAATAGAAGCACGCAAAAAATAGTCCGGTGTCTTTCGTCTTTTGCTTCCATCGTAAAACAGGTAAGTTTACGGAGAGGCAAGAAAATGACATGCAAAATAAATAGCTTGGCAATATTCTCCGGGAGAAAGATCTCGCTTCCTTTTTGGAAGAAAAAGAAAAATCAGGTTTTCTTTTTTTTTATCGTAAGACAAATCGGGATGTCTCCTCTATATAATTATGCCGACGGAAAATATAAATCGTGTATTTCTTTCGGTTCTGTTCGGACAAGGAGAGAAATGAGAGATCACTTGGCGACAGTGAGCTCGTCGCCACTGCTGTGTGCTGGGGTTCGAGACCGGGTCAAAGCTAGGTTTCAGATATCTAATTCTCTAGTATGCACATCGCTTTGTTACACACACACACAAAACGATATTCATAAAACAGAATCTTAAAAATACAATGTACTACATGACCACAGTCAAAATGCTACTTGCATTAATTATCTATGGGGTTTAATGTAATTTTATTTGAATCAGTTATTTAATTTTAAATTAAGAAACTGATTTAATTAATTTATTTTAATCAATCATCTGATTTTATTTCATTTGAATCAATAATTTTATTTTATTTGAATCAATAATTTTATTTTATTTGAATCAACGTTTTTTGTATTTTAATTTCCGTATCTACTCGAGTATAAGTCGAGTTTTTATGATAACATTTTTTACACCAAAAATAGGGTGTCGCATTATACACAGGTCATAGGGAGCCGCACTATATGCAGGTATTGTTTTTCCTAGAGAAGTTAAAATGCATGCAAAAAAAAAAAAAAGAAGTTATACCATATATTAAATCGGTTTATACATGTGTTTCTACTGAAGGTATTTAATTTTATTTTATTTAAGCGAATTATTTAATTTTAGTTATTAAATTTTAATTACCGTATTTTCCGACTCACAAGACGCACTTTTTTTTTCTAACAAATACCCTAAAAAATACGTGTGCGTTTTCTAACACAAATGTAAGGCAACGCCAGGCTCAATTAATTGGCTTGACTGAAGGGACGTGGAGTTGTATGCTGAGTCATTACACTATAATGTTAGCTATCTATCTAATTCAGCCTTTTATATGATGTAACCTCAATATGTAGCTGTTGAAAGCATTTTCAAGACTATAAACCTTCCTGTAGCCGAACCACGATTTAAACACGCTCTGTTTACTAGCAGCAGCTGGAGCCTTTCTGCTATTAACTAGTATGTCCTTGCCATACAACAAAATCAGACGAGTGATTAATGTAAACAATACGTGGCGCCAGTATGTGAAGGCCGCATGGTGAATGTGTTGTTGTATGAGAATGACTTTTTTTCTTAAAAATTTATTTCCAATATCGGGGTGCGTCTTCCAAACCGCAGCGTCTTGTAAACCCGAAAATACGGTATTTAATTTTATTTGAATAAATTATTTTATTTTGATTATTTAATTTTACATCATTCTAATCCATTATTTTATTTTATTAGAGTATATTTCATTTTGATTTAATCAGTTATTTATTTTTGTTTTATTTGAACCAATTATTTAACTTTATTCAATTTTAGCTATTTAATTTTATTAACCAAATGGCGAAATTGTAACTGAACTTATAAGTACGCCAATGCGATGTTTTTGCCGGTTGAAGATTGAAATATTGTGTAACATTGATAGTGAAACTTTGAAAAAAAAAAAAAAACTGCATTAAGCCACATAGCTTCACACGAAGTGATACTTGCCATTGTAAATATATGTGTAGTGCATTTTTTTTATGTGGGTGGGGTTTACAAATTGAATAATGAAGAAGCTTGATCAATATCTTATTTGTATGAACTACTGCCGCAAATTTGACAACTTTTAAACTGATATTTTAAATTTTACAACATGCGCACGAGAAATATTTGTCTGACGCTTAAACAATGTCAAGAGTAGTACGAGCGTTTCGGATTGGGAAGAATCCCCCACCCACCGGGATAATTAAATATCTAGATGACCTTAAACGCTATCCAACGATGTCTACATTAAGTGACTGCTGTAACGTGTGCAAATCGTCACCTAACTGTGAACTTTTAGAATCGGTAAAAGATCGGGCCAACTGATTTTAAAAAGAAAACCCAGGATGCATCTTGTCGCCTCAAAAAAATTGTACCGGTGGTTAATAGCAGAACACCGAGTTCCAATTCCATTCGAATCCATTACATCCACTTACGTGCTAATACCCTTGGGAAGGGTATGAACCCTTTTCTCCTACCAGCTATGGGAAGATAGCAGGACAGACTGGGTTCTATAGCCTTGGATGGTAACTGGTCTACCGCAGAAAGAAATGGTAACCTACTGCGGGAAAAAAATCTGCCAAGTCAGTCATGTAAATAGTTATACCTCAAAACATTTTTTTTCAGAGTGCATTCCAAAACTTGAAAATAAAATAGGTGGAGGGAGACACCTTTTGTTTAGTTTGTTTGGGTTTGATTTGTTTGACGGCTTGTCAACCTCAATGCTGACAAGATTTTTATTGATGGTAATATTTTTTCCCAAATGTATTTCTAGTAATAGTTTTTTTCCAAAAATGCATTGCAGCTAATACTTTTTTTTCAAAACTGTTTTGCTGCTAATAATTTTATTAAAAAGAAAAGTACTGCTGGTAATAATATATTGCTTGTAATAATTTTTTACAAAAATGTATTGCTGGTATTAAAACTTATTTTTATACTTTCATAATATCTTGACCCCAGTTTGGGGTTAACTATTTGCCCATAGTTGGGACCCTAACAGGTGCTACCACCCCGGGTAAGGGTGGACCTGGAAACACTAGCAATTAAGAGATGGTTCCACGCTCCTCAAAAGCTCCTGATCAGAGGTCTTGCTGTCGGAAGTAGTTTATCGTCTTACCCAGGACGCCGGGTGTAGTTTATCGTCTCACCCAGGACGCCGGGTGTAGTTTATCGTCTCACCCAGGACGCCGGGTGTAGTTTATCGTCATAACCAGGACGGAGACACTTTTGAAGGAGACAATTATCGTTTCGTTTAAAGTAAAAAATTTAATTTTGAAAATTTTCCCTATTTTTTTTTTTAAAATCGATCTCTCTCAACATTATGTATAGGGAGGTGGCTATTAAGCTACATTAACTGGATATTGTTCGCTCCATAAAAGTTAAAGATTCGTGTTTTCTCATTAATTAATCAAATTAAAATTTTATTTTATGTCAAGTGCGACAAAAAAAAAATGCATATTAAAGAGAGAGAGGGAAAAAAAGAACATCTTTTTAGACTTAAACGAATGGGTGATTAATCAAGCCTAAATCTTAATGGAGGTGTATCGTCAGTGGTTGTATATTTGCAGCAATGCGGTCGACCTTGCGTTAGAATTGAGATGAAGAACTGTACTTGTTCACGACCTACATCCAACACGGCTCCAAGAAGTTGTATGGGCAGTACGATGGCCACACCGCTGTCAACGGCATCGACCTGCTGGTTAAACTGTGTGAGGTTAGTTGGAAGTGTTCGTCGACCTCACCGGTGAAGGAGGACACCTCTTCCCAACCCACTTGTGCCAAGCGGTCATCGGCCAGTCGCCAGCTTTTGCGTAGGAGCTGCGCCTCAGCTGCCAACGGCTTTGAAAGTGTGCGGAGGGATTTCTGAGAATAGAGACGGATTAACTTCAGCATCTCTGATGCAGAAGGAACCGGCAAAGTATTGCACTATTTTGCTGTGAATGTTACTCTGAAACACAGCATCAGCAGGGGAAGTGGTGACCACAGCTGCGCAAAAGGCGATAACTATATAAATGAACGAATGGGGAATCTTATTACGTTTTAAGACAATCATAAAGATGGAGAATTTGTTTTAGGATGTTATTAGTAGAAAATACAACCCGCATAAATATTTGGGCGCCAAAAAATACAACACAATAATGGGACGTGTGGAAATTACTCTTCCGTGTAGTTTGTAACACATTTATTTATCGTCACTCACTTGTGACCCTGTCTTTGGGCAGAGTGCGCTCTCAGGGGCGACTCCGTCAAAAGACAGTCGCAACTGAGGAAAATTATACTGAGAAGTGCCCAGCCCTGGGGAAGAGCACTAGAGAGAGGGATCGGTGCTCGCGTCGAGGCCAGCGCAAACGAAGGTTGTTGGGGCTCGGGAAATTTTTGTTTCTAGCCCGGGCAGACGCGCTCGGGTTCCGCACATTAAACTGCTTTTGTGTCACAACCTGACCTCCTGGGACGTGTAAGTTGATGCAAAAATTACTTAATTATTTAATCTGATTACTGATTGATGTTTTTACTGCTTTCTGTGGATTATTTGAATTCGTAACATATTTTAGAGTGTAAGATTTATCCTCTTTTGCGGGTGAATATTAAATCATTCTTTTAGAACAATAATTTTCCAAAACAAAAGGCCTATCATTTGACCCAAAGCTGGGAGTGGGGAGATGGATTCATACATTCAAAGGGTATTTGCGCGTAAGTGAATGTAACAAATCCGACTTGAATTCGAACTCGGCTCAACGACTTCTCATTCCAAAATAGTACACTTTGCACCACGCGCATATCCACAATCTGATAACTAAAGTGCGATCAATTATTTTTAATTTTCGGATCCGCTGTTTTATTTGTTGTACTGGCGAAATTATCTTTCTGGTTGCTTACCTGTCTGCTTGTGTGTCTGCCAGTCTGTATTAAGGAATACAGGTTAATTAGAACAAACCCTCTCCTCACCCCCTCTCCTTTCATCTCTCCATCTCTCTCTCTCTCTCTCTCTCTCTCTCTCTATCTCTCTCTCGCTCAGCTCGTTTATATCAATATATATTCGTTTTTCCTCAAACTGTTTCTTTGTTCACATTTTTCTACCGATATCAATGCATTCATCTTCTTTCACTCTCTTTCTCTCTCTCCCCCCTCTCTCTCTCTATCTATCTATCTAGCTGTCTATCGATTCCCATCTTTCTACATGTCTCAATGAATTAATTTCTCTCTCTCTCTTTCTTTCTTTCTTTCTTTATCTATTTATCTGTCTATCTCTTTCAGTACACTCATGATAAACCGAGTAAAATATATATATATATATATATATATATATATATATATATATATATATATATATATATATAGTTCAGGTAAAAAAAACCTTGGGTAAGTAATCCAAATAGATCCTATTAATATAAAATGTTAAAACTGATCCACAAAAGAAAGCTCAGTATAATTTTTATTATAGTGCATATTACAGTTAATGAGATCCAAACAATTTACCTCCATACAGATGACCATTTGACAAGTTTATTATATATATATATATATATATATATATATGTGTGTGTGTGTGTGTGTGTGTGTGTGTGTGTGTGTGAAAAAAATATAGAAAATAGGAAGGAACTGGTTAGATAAATAATCCAAAGTTCCTTAGTATTTTAGTTATTATTTTTAAAAAATAGTGCTCGATACAAAAAGTAGAGCATAAATATAATTATTTATTTTAATATTTATTCATAGCGAGTTGGAATCATATTTTTAAATAAATAATATATATATATATATATATATATATATATATATATATATATATACTAGCAGTATGGGCCTGGCGTTGCCTGTGCTTGATTCAAAAATCGTACGACTCATGCAGCAATCGCTATCACTTGACTTAAAATATTTTTGCCCTTCCTTGCCTTTTAAAGGAATGCCCTTTGCCGTGCTGATGTTGCTACATGCGTTACTTCTTGCCTATCTCACACTGCGAAGTTTTTCTAAGCTCTATACTAAACATTAAATCTGTTACGAAAAAGAACTAAACAAAATGAACACAAAACGATCAGCTTTAAAAAGGACTCGTAACTGGAAAACCGAATGAAAAAGAATGTTAACAACAAATACTTTTTTCACATCAACCCAGTTCTGCGGAATCAGAATCAACGTTGAGTTTAAGCAAGCGAATGAGCCAATTGGAGTAAAGTGCCATGCAGATTTAAATTTTTCCCCACTTATGACAAATGCAGCTATCGATATTTTTTGCATGCTAGTTAACATTCGTGTCAATCAGCTGTTGGCTCTCACGCTGGCCAATAAAATCTTCCTGCCTATTCGTGGCAGCCAGCTATAGGCTCTCACTCTGGCCAGTACAAAATGGCCGCAAACTACATGAAAACTGCCGTAGAAGCATGAAAAAATCGATTATTTCCATTATCGATGGGAGTTGGAAAATGCAAAGTCGGTGTTGGCCTTCCCGCTAACTTGGTGCATGTGCATGTAAATCTTGGTGCAAATCCGTCGAAAATTCGCGACCGTGCATTCTTTACACACACACACCCACACACACACACACACACACACACACATAAACACACACACACACACAAACATCCTGCCTTTTATATATATATATATATATATATATATATATATATATATATATATATATATATATATACTGTTTATTCTCATCTTTCTATTGATCGCAATGAATTTTCTATCTATCTATCTATCTATATATATATATATATATATATATATATATATATATATATATATATATATATATAAGTTTTTCTGGCTCTTTAGGATTTATTTTAGTTATTCCCTCTACTTACCGTATTGAGCACTCTACGTTTTAGTCTTACTGCTCGTTTGTTTTTTTTCTTTAGACTCAAAATCTATCTATCTATCTATCTATCTATCTATCTATCTATCTCTTCCTATACATATATCTGTTTCTCTCTTCGTATCTCTATCTATCTGTTACTATCTATCTGTCAGTATCTTCATATCTATATATCTATCTATCTGTTACTATCTATCTGTCAGTATCTTCATATCTATCTATCTATCTATCTATCTATCTATCTTTCAGTATCTTCATATCTATCTATCTATCAGTCAGTATCTATCTATCTATCTATCTATCTATCTATCAGTCAGTATCTATCTATATATCAGTCAATATCTATCTATCTATCTATCTATCTATCTATCTATCTATCTAAGCCTGTTCATTATCTATCTATCTATCTATCTATCTATCTATCTATCTATCTATCTATCACAGTTTGTTTGTTCAAATATCTATCTCTTTATCAAGTTACGTCTCTTAGGTTATTTCTGTGTATTTATCTCTATTGTTAAGTATGTAGATCCTGATCTACAGAAAACAGATTCAGTAAAACCGTATTCGAATTCAGGTTCATGCATTTTTTTATTATCAGTTTGCAGAGATGGTTTCGTGTGAAAGGCATGAATTCACTTGTCCCTGCTTTCTGTTTCCAACCTGTCTTGCCACGATCATTGATATGGAAATTCTCCTTAGACACATCTCGCTGTCAAAGTTAGATAAATATAATGTTGTCCTTTTTATGTGTATTCCTTTCATTCATTCCCTGCCCACATTCAGGCTCTTTGATCCCACAGTTATTTTACTGATCAGTACTTTAAATCGCATATGTCGCTTAAATAAAAGCGGATAATTGCTTTTATTATAATAGCTCGGATAAGGAAAATGCAAATACTATTACGTCTCTTATGTTTACAAAAGTTAAAAGATAGAATTTGTACGGAATAAAGTCTACAATTACTTTTAATAATGTAACCTCTCAGATACAGTTTTTTGGGTTTTTTTTTTTTTAAGGGCAATTCAGCCCAAGGAAGACGGAAGTGCCACTAGCACGCAAGGGGTTACAGAGGATTGAGACCAAGAGTAAAGAGGCCTGTTTGAGGAAAGGATACAGAGAAGAACGGGGATCAAGCTCAGAATGTCAGATGTCGATTGACATTACACACAGTCAATGAGAAAGGCATGGTTAGCAACAGTGACAGAATTTCGTATCGCAATGGTAATATTATATACTTCCTTATGAGGAAACATTTACCATTCGTTTACCGGGCAGTCGCTAAAACACCACTGCTGGTATAAAAGAATCTTTCTCCTGAAATAGTCCCTCATTATGAAAATACGTTCCTTAAAATACGTTCACTAGGTGTTACCACTCTTTCCAGTATTGATGTGTGTTTTCTATCCTATTTTGTTTGTTTGAAGTATTGAGTACCTCGCCAATTCTTTCATGTTATTATCTTCTCTTCCAGTTAAATTTATTATCCATTTTAATTGGAAGACACGCATTTCAAATATGTAAGAATTAACTTTGCTTAACAGTGAACCCAAATGAAAATCTTATCAGTTGATAGTTATAATATCTACGGTTTACATATAACATGTAACAGATAAACGACACATAAATTTATCCACATTATTAAATATGCGTATATGCCTTTGAATGCATTCACCTTTCATTCTACTCGGATATTTGAAGATTATAGTCATCGGGGAAGCAAGTAAGAGGAAGGGAGTTCCACAGACAGGAAGTGCGGGAAAAGAAGCTGTTTGTGTAGAAGGGGCGGTTACATTTAACCGCTTTGACAGTGAAAGGGTGGGACCGAGATTCCAGCCTGGTAGCTCGCTTAAATTCATGTTGTCCGGGTACCAGGGAAAGTAGTTCGTCGGAACAATTGCCGTGAAAATACTTGTAGAAGAGACAGAGGGAGGCCACTGAACGTCTGTGGGATAGCGATTGTAGACTAGATGCCAGATGAGGACCTATCATCTTGCATATTCGTCTTGTCAAGGACCTCGAGATGTACATCGAGGGCACCAGATCCTATATGACAGCAATATTCCATGCAAAGACGGATGGTTGATTTATAGATTTGACACAGAGAACCAAATTTCCTTGCGGTAGATGAAGCTATTGATTCATTGTATTTATTCCGTCTCATGTCTGTGGACAGCGTGAGACCAAGCGGGCGTAACGTGGCACTGTCGAGGAATCAGCCATTCTGATGGGAGGCAGGAAGAGTTCACTGTTGTGTGTAAAGGAGAGCAAATTCGTTTTGGAGGCATTAAGGTTTACAAGCTATTTCCTGTCCCAGTCAACTACAGATTGGAGATCTTTTTTATGAGCTATTCGTTGGCAGCCCTGTAAAAATGAGTTTGAGCGTGCAAAGCCTGTGGGCTTTGGCAAAGACCACGCTTCTTCGAACCTTGTGGACTGGTGCTACAGAATCATCATAAAAATCTGTACCAAATAACAGAAATTACATCACTTGAGGAATTTCAACAGTAGCAACAACTAAAATAGATAGTACGTTTAGCAAGAAGAGAAAATAATGACATAATAATGACGCTAATGTTCCACACTACTCTAAACATAAGGTTAGTAAGGAAACCCCCATAAATAATGAAAAAAGCGATAACAGATAAAGGACTTGAGAAACCTGTTTTCCTGAAAAAAAATTTAGAGAATTTTTTATATATTTCTCTTGACAGTAGTAATGACAGTTTTGTTGATGAATACCGAATGTTTCCTTATAAGGAAACGGCTAATGTTACCATTTAGTCAGTTTAATGCCATACGTGATACAAGCTTGAGAGATCATATCATTTTTGACTCATGATGGACAAGGCAGAAGATTTTCCCGCAGAAAGTTGCCATTTCATTCTGCAACTGCTTACAAAGTAAGGCTATAAAACCCAGTCTCTCCTGCTATTCAACCCATAGCTGAGGGGAGTAGTAATGGCTGCTTGATTGATGAATGCCGAATATTTCCTTATAAAGAAATGGCTAATATTATCATTCGGTCAGTTTAGTGCCATACGTGATACAGGCTTGTGAGGTCATATCACTTTTGACTCATGACGGACAAGGCAAAAGATTTTCCCACAGAAGGTTGTTATTTCTTTCTGCAACTGGTTACAAAGTAAGGCTATAAAACCCAATCTCTCCTGCTATTCAACCGATAACTTAGGGGGGTAGAAATGTAAATAACCGTAAATATTCTTGGAACAGTGTATTTACTGTTAAGTGATTGTATTGAGCCCGACTGGAATTCGAACTCGGCTCTCCGACTTCTCATTTCGAACCGTTAACCATTACACCACATCCTATTATTACCATTTCCCTTTTGCAGTACTTGAAGCATTGGGAGAGTTTGAATGATCGCATAAGGTCTGGTTTCTGTTATCCATTTTAAGTAATATTGTTACATTTTGACTGTTTTTTTTTTCCTTTTGTTGTTGCAACACGGGACGGCCGTCGACAGAATCAAGCGATCATAATTTCTCAAGACAGGAACTCGGGTCGCCTTTGCTTCAGGGAGGGCCGCTTAATTGTACTAGCTGCTCTTTCCTTCTAAGCTACTGTGAACCCGATTGTAGCAGAAGTCCAAATCTAATCTTGTAAAGAATTAAGATGAAGGAGAATTGCTTGTCAAAATTCAAAATTAATAATGGTTGGCGGTGCTTCATCATAAAACAAATAGCGATAATATCGTTTCTGCTCTCAAATTAACTTAGAAACACAAGTAGTACTGTCCCCTCTTGGTCCGTACTCTCTCTCCCTCTCTTTCTCCCTGGGTCCATCATTTGTTTCTCCTTTACTCTCAGTCCCCCGTGCTTATCTTTTATTCTTTCTTACTCTCTTTTGTTATTCCACTCCGCTCACGCTCACTCTCTTTTTCTTCTTCCACCTTTAATTCTTTCTCACGCTCTCTCTTTCTTCACGCATTTGTTCTTCGTTCTCTCACTCTTCCTTCTGTTATTCGTTTCCACTCTCTCTATCTGTCCAGGTTTCTTTCTTTTCTTTTCTTTTCTCTATATTTCCATTTATTCTTTGTAATTTTCTTTTTCACTAAATTTCCATCTATTTTCTCTCTCTCACGAACATTCACCTTTTTTATTCTGACATTTACTTACATTTCTCTCTTTCTATTTTTCTCTCTTTCTTTATCACACACTATCTCTCGTTTCTCTCTCTCCCCCCTTCCATCTCTCTCTCTCACTAACATTTTCTTTTGCTCTCTCTTTCTTTCTCTCTCTCTCTCTCTCTCTCTCTCTCTTTCGGACACTAATCTATATTTATTCTGTTTTTTTTGTACTTATTTTTTCTCTCTCACTTCTTTATCCAAATTCACTTTTCCCTTTATGGTATCTCTCTTTCAGTCTAAAATATTGACCCATTGTTATTTTCTGTAGCATTTTAACCCCCCCCCTTACACACACACACATTCTGATTCTTTCTTTCTTTGTCTCTCTTTTTGGGTGCTTAGTGTTTCTTTGACTTTCTCTCTATTTTATATAATGTTTCTCTCTCTCTCTTTCTTTCTTTCTTTCTTTCTCTCTCTTTCTTTCTTTCTTTCTTTCTTTCTTTCTTTCTCTCTCCCTCTCTCTCTCTCTCTCCCTCTCTCTCTCTCACTTTCTGACATTTCTTGTTTCCTTCTCTCATTTTCTCTTCTTATTCCACAAATGTTTTCTCTTTTTCAATCTCCTGTGCACTTATCATTTCTCCCATTCTATATATTTTGTATTCAATATATTTCTCTCTCTCTCTCTCTCTCTCTCAGTACCCCCTCTCTCTCTTTCTCTCAGTACCCCTCTCTCTCTCTCTCTCTCTCTCTCTCTCTCTCAGTAACCACATCTCTCTTTCTTTCTCTTTCTCTTTCCCATATTGTTTCTCATTCTTTTTTCTCTTTTTAATCGATATATATTTCTCTTTCACTTTCATTCTCTTGGACACTTCTGGTTTCTTTCTGGCTTTCTCTTTTTATTGAAAAATATTCTCTCTCTCTCTCACTCTCTCTCTCTCTCTCCTCTCTCTCTCTCTCTCTCTCTCTCTCTGCCATCTCTTGCTTTTCTCTATATTTCTTTTTATTCAATGAAAAATCTTTGTCACTCTCACTTTTTCTCTATTTCCTCGACCACTTACTTGTCTACCTCCCCCTACCTCTACCGCTAACCCTAACTCTAACCGATACCTTCTTCTTCTTCTTCTTCTTCTTCTTCTTCTTCTTCTTCTTCTTCTTCTTCTTCTTTTAATATAAACAAGGTTTTTTTTAACTTTCATCAACATCAATACGCATCTTGCATTTCAAATTCTTCTTCTTCTTCTTCTTTTTTATAAACAAGGTTTTTTCTCTTTCATCAACATCAATCGCATCTTCTTTCAAAATTCTCTTCTTCTCTCTTCTCTCTCTTCTTCATCTTCTTCTTCTTTTTCTTATATTTCTTTTTCTTCAATGCTCCTCCTTCTTCTTCTTCTTTTTTTCTTTTCATCTCCGACCACTTCTTCTCCTTCTTTAATTGTCCGATTCCTTCGTCTTCTTCACTAGTCGTCGTTCTTCTTCTTCTTCTTCTTCTTCTTCTTCTTCTTCTTCTTCTTCTTCTTCTTCTTCTTCTTCTCCCTTTAATATAAACAACGTTTTTTTAACTTTCATCAACATCAATACCCATCTTGTATTTCAAATTCTTCTTCTTCTTTTTCTTAACCGTTCTTCAACATGAATACGCATCTTATATTTCAAATTCATCTTTTTTCTTCTTCTTCTTCTTATTATTATTATTATCATTATCATTATTATTATTATTATTAATAGTAGTAGTAGTAATAGAAGTAGTAGTAGTAATAGCCCCTGCTTCATCAATCTTCCTTTCTTTATCTTTCATTCTTTTTGCCTCTCCCAAACAACTGCTCTCTTTTGCTGTTACTTTCTTCTTCGTTTTTTTCTCTTTCAACTTTTTCTTTTAGATGTTTTATGATATTTTTTTTGCTACAACACATCACTTTTTGATGAATCTCTCAAGATATATATACGTTTTTTAAATATTTTATATCAAGGCTATCACCCTGAATTTGATCGACAAATCCCCTGAGATCTTGACGTCATAATTTTCAACATCTACTTATGCTGTATGCCTTCAGTGTTATTATATTTGAATTTATCATATGCAATTATACAGCACACAACGCAGTTTATAAGATCACCTGTTTGTTATTTCTGACCATAGATTAAAATTCTGGTTTAGACAAACAATGACACTGAAATAAAATATTTCTAACTTTTTTTATGTGAATTTTACAATTAAAAAGACCAGAATTCCGTTTATTTATATGTAAGTCAAATTTTTAATAAACCCGAAGATGCTATTAAAAATTCGATTTATTAAATACGATATGAATGGTATTAAAATCTTCGAGAAATTTACATGTGTAGTTGTCTCTTTAGCGTCTTAAATAAAGGGCGAAGAATTATGTTGGGATTTAGACAGGAAACTTTTTTGCATTTCGTTTGGTTGTTAATGTTTAGAGGCATCTCAACCTCTATGGGTTATTTAATGCCGAAATCTAAATATTTGGTACGGAATTTGAATTTTTGGAGATAATAGTTTTACTGATACAAATTTTATTAATTAACCCATACCTGGGGGATAATAGGTGAATTCATACCTTTCCCAATAGTAATTTCCAGTGAACGAATATAACGAATTTAACTAGAATTGAAACTCTGTACTCCAATTTAAAATTCCGAGACATCATCCGTTACACCAATCACACATCCATGCTTACAGAATCTATCCTTCTAACTACTAACCAGGCTCAACGTTGCTTAACTTCGGTGATCGTACAGAAATCGATGTTTCAACGAGATGTAGTCGTAAGCCTTGCATTTAGTGTCGTCTATGGCTTTAAATTTTCAAACTACAACGTTATATCACAGACTGAATCAATAATGGATTTTTTTTCTTTTTATTCGCTTTATTTCATGAGGGACAGTAGTCATAGTGTTTCTAGGCGGAAGCGAGAGAGAGAGAGAGAGAGAGAAACAGGGAAGTCGCATGTCAATCTGTTGGTCACAGTCCCATCACAATAGGGTGGCTTGTCTCGCTAAATAATCTTCGAATTCTTGCGACTTTTTGATCTTATGTCAAAACTTAAATTAATCCATCAGTGTCAGAATTCCAAGCCCACAGAGTTCAAATCCCCAACGCAGTTCGGGTTATCAGAGTTCTAACAAGGCTTATGGCCATATCAAGTTGAAACACCGGTTCCCGTACTATCACCCAAATTAAACAAAGTCGAGCTAGGATGAGTGACCGTTTGGACTGTCATAGCTGAAACTCCTCTCTCACGCGCCAAATCTTATGGATTGACTTGGATCTTTTCTAATTGATCTTTTTAGTCCTAAGTTGAAATGATGATCCATCTTCCTGTTGTGACCTCCTGATCCAGTTTTCCTCTCTACTGTTCCCTCTTTTTTTTTTGTTCCCTCTTTTTTTTGTTCCCTAGATGGTTCTTGAATAGACTTTGAAGATGGAAGCCAGTGTTTGAACGTTGTTACCATTACTGAAGGCCTGAATGATTTTTCCTCTCACCATTCACCTCTCATATCCATGACACATAACGATTTTAACTTGTTCTCTTTCTAACTTAAAGGGATTTTTAAGTGATTTTTTACGAGAAATGGTATCAAGGTGGCTAAACTTCTTATCTGAAAATCTGGGAAAATAATTCAATTAGTTTCGTGTTTTTGGGGGTTTTTTTTAGATATTAAACATTTTGTGTGATGGACAATTCTGCTGTAACACGATTTGGACAGTTTTACTGTTACATTCGGTATATTTCGGCACAGTTTTTACATAAACTTTATGAGCCAAGTACGAAACTGTGGGCCTGTTACAATGAAGACACACAACTAAGACTGTTTTCATGTACTTGTTACACTCCTGTTCCAACCCTAACAACACCTCAGACTGTTTTCATGTACTTGTTACCCTCCCGTTCCAACCTAACAACACCTCAGACTGTTTTCATGTACACCTCCTGTTTAACAACACCTCAGACTGTTTTCATGTACCTGTTAACCTCCTGTTCCAACCTAACAACACCTCAGACTGTTTTCATGTACCTGTTACCCTCCTGTTCCAACCTAACAACACCTCAGACTGTTTTTCATGTACCTGTTACCCTCCCTGTTCCAACCTAACAACACCTCAGACTGTTTTCCCTTGTTACCCTCCCGTTCCAACCTAACAACACCTCAGACTGTTTTCATGTACTTGTTAACCTCCTGTTCCAACCTAACAACACCTCAGACTGCTTGTTACCCTTGTTCCAACCTATCATCAGACTGTTTTCATGTACCTGTTAACCTCCTGTTCCAACCTAACAACACCTCAGACTGTTTTTTCATGTACCTGTTACTCCTGTTTTAACAACACCTCAGACTGTTTTTACCCGTTCAAACCTAACAACACCTCAGACTGTTTTCATGTACTTGTTACCCTAACGTTCCAACCTAACAACACCTCAGACTGTTTTCATGTACTTGTTACCCTCCCGTTCCAACCTAACAACACCTCAGACTGTTTTCATATACTTATTACCCTCCCGTGCCAACCTAACAACACCTCAGACTGTTTTCATGTACTTGTTACCTCCTGTTCCAACCTAACAACACCTCAGACTGTTTTCATGTACTTGTTACCCTCCCGTTCCAACCTAACAACACCTCAGACTGTTTTCATGTACTTGTTACCCTCCCGTTCCAACCTAACAACACCTCAGACTGTTTTCATGTACCTGTTACCCTCCCGTTCCAACCTAACAACACCTCAGACTTGTGGCCCCTCCGTTCCAACCTAACAACACCTCAGACTGTTTTCATGTACTTGTTACCCTAACGTTCAAACCTAACAACACCTCAGACTGTTTTCATGTACTTGTTACCCTAACGTTCCAACCTAACAACACCTCAGACTGTTTTCATGTACTTGTTACGTTCCAACCTAACAACACCTCAGACTGTTTTCATGTTCCTAACGTTCAAACAACAACACCTCAGACTGTTTTCATGTACTTGTTACCCTAACGTTCCAACCTAACAACACCTCAGACTGTTTTCATGTACTTGTTACCCTCCGTTCCCTAACAACACCTTAGACTGTTTTCATGTACTTGTTACCCCTAACGTTCCTAACAACACCTCAGACTGTTTTCATGTACTTGTTACCCTACCGTTCCAACAACACCTCAGACTGTTTTCATGTACTTATTACCCTCCCGTTCCAACCTAACAACACCTCAGACTGTTTTCATGTACTTGTTACCATCCCGTTCCAACCTAACAACACCTCAGACTGTTTTCATGTACTTGTTAACCTCCTGTTCCAACCTAACAACACCTCAGACTGTTTTCATGTACTTGTTACCCTCCCGTTCCAACCTAACAACACCTCAGACTGTTTTCATGTACCTGTTACCCTCCTGTTCCAACCTAACAACACCTCAGACTGTTTTCATGTACCTGTTACCCTCCTGTTCCAACCTAACAACACCTCAGACTGTTTTCATGTACCTGTTACCCTCCCGTTCCAACCTAACAACACCTCAGACCTTGTTACCCTAACGTTCCAATCTAACAACACCTCAGACTGTTTTCATGTACTTGTTACCCCTCCCGTTCCAACCTAACAACACCTAAGACTGTTTTCCTTATACTTATTACCTCCGTGTTCCAACCTAACAACACCTCAGACTGTTTTCATGTACTTCCAACCTGTTCCAACCTAACAACACCTCAGACTGTTTTCATGTACCTGTTACCCTAACGTTCCAACCCTAACAACACCTCAGACCTAACAAACATGTACTTGTTCCTAACGTTCAAACCTAACAACACCTCAGACTGTTTTCATGTACTTGTTACCCTAACGTTCCAACCTAACAACACCTCAGACTGTTTTCATGTACTTGTTACCCTCCCGTTCCAACCTAACAACACCTCAGACTGTTTTCATGTACTTGTACCCTCCTGTTCCAACCCTAACAACACCTCAGACTACCCTCCCGTTCCAACCTAACAACACCTCAGACTGTTTTCATGTACCTGTTAACCTCCCTTCCAACCTCCTCAGACTGTTTTCATGTACCTGTTACCCCTCCTGTTAAAAACCTAACAACACCTCAGACTGTTTTCATGTACCTGTTAACCCGTTCCAACTAACAAAACCTCAGACTGTTTTCATGTACTTGTTACCCTCCCGTTCCAACCTAACAACCCCTCAGACTGTTTTTCATGTACTTGTTACCCTTCCGTTCCAAAAATAACAACACCTCAGACTGTTTTCATGTACCTTACCCTCCCGTTCCAACATAACAACACCTCAGACTGTTTTCCTCCTGTTCCAACCTAACAACAACACCTCCTACTTTTTCATGTACCCTCCCGTTCCCCACCCTAACAACACCTCAGACTGTTTTCATGTACTTGTTACCCTCCCGTTCCAACCTAACAACACCTCAGACTGTTTTCATGTACCCTCCCTGTTACCCTAACAACACCTCAGTTCCAACCCTCCTGTTCCAACAACAACACCTCAGACTGTTTTCATGTACCTGTTACCCTCCCGTTCTAACCTAACAACACCTCCTGTTCCAACCTAACAACACCTCAGACTGTTTTCATGTACTTGTTACCCTTGTTTAACAACACCTCAGACTGTTTTCCTTGTTAACCTCCGTTCAAAATAACAACACCTCAGACTGTTTTCATGTACTTGTACCTTCCGTTCCAAAATAACAACACCCCTGTTTTCCCTGTTACCCTCCCGTTCCCTAACAACACCTCAGACTGTTTTCATGTACTTGTTACCCCTCCCGTTCCACCCTAACAACACCTCAGACTGTTTACCCTGTTCCAACCTAACACTCAGACTGTTTACCTGTTCCAACCTAACAACACCTCAGACTGTTTTCCACCTAACAACACCTCAGACTGTTTTCATGTACTTGTTACCCTGTTCCAACCTCCAACACCTCAGACTGTTTTCAACACCATCCCGTTCTAACTAACAACACCTCAGACTGTTTTCATGTACCTGTTACCCTCCCGTTCCAACCTAACAACACCATAAGTAGAACCAAACATTTTCTCTATTTGTAGCTGGCAGTTATATATACAAATATTATTATGAATTTCACTTTGGATTTTTCTTTTTGAAATCTTGCTCTTTTGTGGTACACCTAACTTCTTCTCGGGGTATCCCAGGGTACCATGGCAAACGGTTTGAGAAGCACCACCAGCCTACCAGATAACTTAACTTCATATATTAGACCCTGGAGATAGTTTAAAGATATTTGGGGGGAGAATAAAAGTGGAATGTATCTACACTAATCTATCTCGATCCATGTCTTCTTTCAACTTCAATCTCTTGAGGTTCTTGCTGACGCTTTTTTCTCCAATGGATAGCGGCTTGGATTGTGGAATCGGAGTGCTGAGTTCGAATTCCAGTCGAGTTCATTGCATTCACTTATGTGCAAATACCCTTGGGAATGTTATGGATCCACCTCTTCTTCCTCCTAGCTATGAGCTAATTAGGAAGACTTTTATCGCTAAATCCTTATTATATCTCAAAAAATATCCCACGATCTAAACATATTTTCTGACTTTAAATAAGCCGCGAAGGGTTGATAAGCTGTAGAAAATGAATGAACCAATCAATCAAGAGTTCTAACCAGCAGTTTGCCATTTAGGGAAACCCTGTTCATTTTATAACTGCATTCACATTAAAAAAACAAATCTGATGTATTCTAATATCCTGTTGTAGATTCCGTGAATCAAATTGTGCACAAATGAATAAACAACGCCAGTAATTGAGATAGCAAAATAAGTGTATTAAACGTAAGAATACAGACTTGAAGTGAAGATTAGTAGTCCAGGAATGCGGGTTAGTAGAAAGAATATGTACAAGTCTCTGTAAATAAAGCCGTAATCATCTCTCTCTCTCTCTCTCTGAACTCTTGTATAACTCTCTGAGAACACCCTGTGTTTGTCTCCGTATCTCTCAACCTGTCTCAACGTATCTCGGTATTTAATATCCTACCCACGAGGAATGTATGTGGCACAAGGCCGAGTTTAATGTGGGTTTCTCCGAGCCCGTAGGCTCGGCCAAAAATATAGCCTTTGAACCCGCCTAGACGGGTTCAGGGCCTGTCTACCTCCCCGGACGAAACCTTGCCCTTCGGCAAAGCTTCATCCTGGTTCCTCTCTGCCAAAGCAGAGAGTTCGACAGACGTTGAGACTGTATCTCGACGTAACTCGACAGCAGGTTTTCTCTCTGTCAGTATAAGTATACTTTGGACGAGTCCATCTTATGTAAAAAGGGGAGAGCCCCACAACATATCCTAACTTGAGTAAATATTTGAATATCAAATCTTCTTTTAGTTACCGTGTACATTCGGAACGTGAGCAATCTTTGATTGACACAACTGTCTATCCTTTGTAGCTCGAAGCATTTTTTTCTCGTTACTATAAGTCTCATTCGTTGTTCTGCTATCCAAACACGTTACTGGGGTTACTGTTTTCCGCTGTTCTTGTTTTCAACAAGACCTGGGAAATGTCAACCGTTTCTTTCTGATTCTAAGAATTATTTTCCCTTCCACTATATCTCCAGAAATATCTGTAAAACGATATCTCTGTTGCCTCTACTTTTCCTTTGTTCATCTTTGAGGGAATTGTCCCGAAATCATTGTCATTTGTGAGGGTTTACAGTTCAGTTACAGCTCAGTACTCATTTCTTTGTTTTTAATGAAGTTTTTTTCTATCCGGTAATCATCATCTTGCGGCCTCAGCTGAGATTGAACTCACCAATACTTATTTGGTGCAGTTCATAATCTTGTCAAATACCTGAATTCTTGATGCTTCGCTAGGGCTATCAAGGGTGTTTTTATCGTGACACCATCACTAAATGGATTGCCAACCAAGGCTCAGAAGATTCCATTCACCCCTCCTCTAAGAGCAGGTTTGAATTCAGAGTTTTCCTTCTCCTAGACCAGTTGCCATCCAAGGCTATAGAACCCAGTCTGTCCTGTTATTTACCCATAGCTGGAGGGAGAAGAAAGAGGATTCACACCTTTCCCAAGGGTGTTAGTACGTAAGTGAATGTAATGGATTCGACTGGAATTCGAACTCGGCTCTCCGATTCCTCAATCCGAACCGCTATCCACTACTCCACCGTGACTCCGGTAATACTTTAACAATTGGCAGTCATCTCTCGCTATTCTAATGTACCTCTGGACTTCTGTTTCACATCTGCCATCATCTAATAAGACACTTCCCATGAAGTTAAATTACTGTACTTATTTGATTTTGCCGTCTCCAATTCATAGCTCCCATGAAAAATGATAAACATTTTATTTCGACGCCCGGTTTTTCGTGATGGACAGGGATTTTCCACCGGAGATAAATGCAATTAATATGCCAAATACGTTTTCACCATGATTTGATGCATTGGGAAAAAAACGAAGCCGTATTTAAATTATATGTCAGACATTTTGATGATTTCTTCCTAAGAGGTTCTCCCCGAGTTTGGCATATACAAGGGTATTTACGATATTTCCGATATTTCAAAAGATTGAGCAAAGCTTCAATAATATCATAAAGAGATGATGAGCAAAAAATGAAAAACTGCCGTTGAAATATATATATATATATATATATATATATATATATATATATATATATATATATAATTGGTGTATACGGAATGAATTCAATAACCAACAATTACTATTCTTAAAAAGATTGCTCAATACAAAAGTAGAACAGATATAATTATTTTTATAAAAAAAAAAATTTTTAAATT